TCAGAACACAAGGCTGTCCTATGAAGGTTTCCCAACCCCAAATTCAAGGGTCACCATGACCTCAGGCTAGGAAAGGGGGGTATTTTGGGTTAGGCAATAAACACAAAGCCTTAAACCTAGCGCCCAAGGTGGCATTTCAGACCTGTTCCATGCCAGCTCCCAAGACCCCTGCAGAGCACACTGCAGTCACAAATCCACCCCTGCCCTGAATGGAGACTTTATTCCCAGAAACTTCCCCAGAGGGGGCTCCTCTGACAGAGTGCCCTACGCAGTCACCAAAATCCATGCAAAGGAAGAAGGTAGGGACCCAGAATCTCGGGATCTGCAAAGGAGATGATCAGGGAAGGTTAGGGGAGGCAACGAACTTGGGGCAAGGGTGGGATCACCGGCACCGGAGAGCTGCCATGCGCTCTCTCTCAGTTACCTGTACCCCAAGAGGGCTTCTTTCGGCTCCAGGAAGGGGGCGCCCCAGCCCGTGCCCACTTCTCGGGCATCTCCTTGGGGACCGTCATGATCCCGGTTTGAGCGGGGTAGGATGGACAGATAGTCTGTCCTTGGCCTCAGCGATGCTGACGGAGCAGCCCCCCGGGTAGGCGAAGGAGCCCCGGCCGTCTGGCGCGCGCCACACCCGCAGCCCGGGCCATCCTCGCAGCCGCCAGTTCCCGGGGATGCCGCGCGCTCAGCTGCGCCGCCGCCGCTGCCCCCAGTACCGCCAGCGGACTCCAGCGCGCGCAGAATGGCCCCGGCCACGGTGCGCACGCACGGACCTGTGTCCCCTCCCGCTCCCCCAACTGCAGGGGAAGCAGTGTGCTAGCGCGCCGCCGCCGCGTAGGCGAAAGCCGGCGTGCCAGCCCCGCCTCCCCCAGGCCGCGACCAATGCGGGGCGAGGGGACTGCCAGCGTTGTCCGGGGCAACCGCTTTCATCGTTCCCCACCACCACCACCACCACCACCACCACGGGGGGCGGGGAAACACGAGGACAAGGGTAAAGAGAAAATGAGTGGTAAGGACCGAGGAGAGAAAATGAGAAGGCAGTTCATCAGACTCTCAGGCCAGAAAGTAGGTGCCCCAAGATGGGGGTGTACGTGTTTGGGGGTGGGGAGATGGTGCACCGCACCCTACCGGCGGGCAGCGGCAGTGGAAAAGCCTGTACATTGACCATGTTTCCTAGACTTGCCCCCAAAGTAGGTAAGGGTTGCAACCTACCCTTCCTCATACCCATATCCTTCCCTTTGCTCCCTAAGCCATAACAACACCCACTCTCCGGGGTTCCAGGGATGCCCCCTCCCTTCCTTGCTCGTCTTACCTGGGGGGCGCTTTTTTGCACACAGTGCCATCTCACCCAGCAAGGTTCCAGCAATCCCATGGGAGACCCTGCAGGAAGGTGACAGACTGGTGAGGTCCATACGCTGAGGACAACCCTTCAGTGCCCTCATGAGACCCCTCCTGGAGGTTCTCTTCCTCAGTTTTGATCCTACAGATCCCCCCCACACCACCACCAATTCCACACCAATAGTCTTCCCTTACTGTAATGATGGGTCCCTGAGAAGAGTGGGGATTCCCCACCCCTCCCCCAATGCTTCTGCCTTGAATAACAGAGGGTGACTGACAGTTTACAGAAGCTAAGGCCCGCAGGCAAAGGAAGGGGGCAGAAAGAAGAGGCCAGAGGAACAAGCTCTCAAGGTACCCATTCCAAGGACAATGGGTGCTCCTAAATGCCCTCCTGATAGCAATGAGTAGTGCCTGTGTTTACTAGAAAGCAGAATTTCCCCAAAAGGGTGGGGTAGAGGGAACATGAGCCAGGAAACACCTGGCAGGGTATAAGGAAACAGGGTGGGCAGGCTCCACCCTTCTCAAAGGCTTGCAAATCCTTCCCCCACCCACCCCCATTACTGGGACTTGGATTATCACCTCCTCCAGGGGAGCTCATATTAGAGGCATGGGCTTCACTTCCTGTATAGCCCGTCCCCTAACCACTTCCTCTCAGGCTGGGTTGGCTGCCCTCTGGGCCAACAAAGGGGTCTTCCCAACCCTGGCAAGGAGTTACTCCTGTTCTTCCCCATCCTATCCCTTGTCCAGTGGGTATGGTACCCAGTGTAGGCTCAGGAAGCATCTGTCAGTGGGTAGGTACTCTTCTTCCTTCCACCTTCCCAGTTCCTTTTTTCGTTCTCCTAAAAAGGTAAAAGCTCTAGCCTACAATGCAGAGTCACAGAATCTCAGTCATAATTCCCCAATCTGACTCAATGGAAACTGCCAGCCAAGTTCTGGCTCCTCTTGTCACCTCCTCTCTTTGTCTGGATAGAATGCCTTCCTTCTCTTCCTCCTTCTCCTTCATTCCCCTTCCTCCAGCCTACTAGGCACACCCGGACAGCCTGTCAGCCCAACTTCTATAATTACAGACTCTGGCCACAGCCCAGTCACCCACACCATGTTCTCCCTTCACTAGCTCAGACTGCCTCCCAGGACCCAAGATCAGTCAATACTGAAAGCCAGTTCTTTTCCTCCCTGACCCTCCCCAACCATGGCAACCACGGGTGCCTGGCTCAGGAAGAAATGCCTCATCCACGTTTTAGAGATGCCAAGACCTCCTTCAGGGGCCCCAGCCAGGGTCTCCACCCAGTCTAGAGTATGAGTCATGGGAGGGTGGAGTAAGGAAGGAGAGGATACAAGAGTGGGCACCACAAGTTTTCTAACTGGTCCTGACCTCAGGGAGGAAGTAATCAAGAAACACCATCACCTTAAAGATCAGGGTTTGAGTCTTACTAGTATTAATGAAGGAGCTACACATGCCTTCAGAAGTCTGGACACCAATCAGGAAAGTTGTTTTACCTCTGAGACCCTGGGGAAACTGAAAGCTGCCTTGGCCCCAGACCTCATCCCCTTTGGGGGGTTGTAACAGGAAGGGAAGGAGGGGACCTGGGAACAGTGACACTACCCCCCCCCCCACTTCTCCTTCTCAGTCACACACAGCTTGAGTGTTCTGAATGGTCAGGCCCATCAGCCATGTCCACGTTGCCTGCCCCGTCACCCTGCCCCAGCCCCCTCTGCAGCCACATTTGGGATAAAAATAGCCAGCCCTGGGAAGGAGGCAATGCCCCATGGAGGGACGCGAATGGTTCCTCCTCTATGCCTGGCCTTTTGCTCCCTTCCACCGACACCCACCCACCCACCTAAGCCTGATCCCTTCTTTCAGAGGTGCCTTTGTGGGCACATCAGGGAAATGGGAGGAAATGGAAACCAAGACCCCCGTTCACTTGGCACCACCACCATTCCCTAGCCACGTTCCATTCCCTGGTCAAGGGCAGCACTCACTACTAACTCCACACCTCTGAGCTCCCAGTCTCAAAGTGGGGAGAGGGCTAAACTCCTGACACACCTACCGTGTAATCTTGGTTTTCCTCTGCAAAGAAATGGTCACCTCAGAATCAAAATCTATCAGTCTCAAACTCCTTTCCCATAGCACCAAACCTCAGCCTCAGCTACTCCTCCCTTCCCAACACCACAACTCTCCGGAGCGGTTCTCCCTTCTCCGCTGCTCCACAGCTTCTCCTCGGCATCTGGCGTTCCTTTCGTAAGACTCCACGAGTCCCTTTATTACCCCACGAGTCTCTTTGGTACCCCATCCTCTTATCCGCGGACAATCTTCCGATCTCCCCCATCATCAGGCACCCCGAAACCCCTTCTCTCTAATCACCCACTCCTCCGCCTCTGCCTGACCGTAGTGTCCGAGTCCCTGTCCCCTGCCCTCCCTCCTCCACAGCTCCCATCTGGGCCCCCGCAGCCCCAGAGTCGGGGTCCTCAGCCGCATCTCTGCCCCGCCAGCCCCGCGTTCCCAGCCTCACCTCAACGCTCAGCGCTCGGCTCCCGGCCGGGCGGCCCCATGTTGCCCATGCCGGGGGTGGGGCGGGGGGCGCTCGGCTCAGCTCCCCGCGGGCTCCCGCCCCCCAGCTACGGCCCCGGGGACTCGACCCGCTACTTTGTGTCAGTTTCGGCGGGGCGGAAGTGACGGAAGTGGCAGTAGAAGGCGGGGGGCAGGAGGGGATTTTGGGGAGGAGTAGGGGAGAGGGAAGGCGGGATACGCCATCTTTGTGCGGGGCAGAGGGAGGGTCTTGCTGCTTAGCATTGGACGGTCTTACCCCCAACCCACCCACCCCACATCAAAAACAATGCAATTCGGTAGGCTCGATGGCTCTGAGATTTCTTTCTTTCTTTTCTTTTAATTTGGAAGAAAGGAAAGAGAAGATCACTGCCTTCTCTGCAAAAAGCATCTCCTGCGGGGTGGACAAGAGCTGGGGAAGCGGTGAACGAGTTTTTCTTCGCGCTTCCTGTTCTCGACTTATTTCTGCACTCAGACCACGTCCTGCGCTCTGCTCCTTCTTTCCTGGCCCTGGCTCATCATCTCATTGTATTTCACCTTCTCCTAAAGTGGTACAGCCCAAAGTGTCTTAAGTCTTGGATTGTGTCTCAGTTCCTCCGCCTGTGCAGGCGTTTTAAGTGTTATTCTCCACAACCTGCCCTTACTACGCCCCACCATCTCCACACCCCCTTGGCGTGGGCAGTTCTCCCACCCTACTATCTGTTACTATCTGGCGGTGGTTGGGTTTAGGTGAGGTGCCCCTGAGAAGGTAAAGGCGAGCAGTGGTGAAATCTGGCTGTAGGGACTGAGTTTTGGAGGAAGTTCCCAGAGTTACGCCACTTACTCCGTCACCACTGAAGGGTCGGAGGCCGCTTCTACCTCACGGATTCCCGCCACCCTCCCCATCTAGCATCCAGGATGAGCACCCTCTGGCGGCTACTTTGAAGAAGTACATGCCTCAGACTCTTAATTCGCCCCTGTCCAGACATCTTCCTAGTTTAGGAAGAAAAAATGTTTAGATGAGTAGAAGAGAAGCTCAGGCACCTTCCCAGGACCTGACGTATTAATAAAGAGAGGATATCTTGTCACCAGTGCTGGGTGGATGGTTCTTTCTAGTGTCCCATGAGAGCTGCTGTGATTATAGTTAATGCTCCGGCGTCTGAGCTGAGGCAGGAGTTTCTGAAGCTTTGTATCGCGCCAACTCCAGATCCTGAGCTGGCTGGGACTCCTCAGGGTGGTGCAGAGCTATCAGCAGCTGATATGTGGCTGTGCCAAGTACGGCCCCCACCAGAGGGGCCACCACGGGCACCCACCACCAGCCATTACCAGCACTGCAAAAGAAGGATGAAAGGGAGAAATCAACAATGCCTCTCCTTGCCTTTCCCCACAGGGACGAAGGGCAGTAAAAAATGAACTTCATAAAGTAGTTGTTGGAGTGATGGACACCAGGATGAGTCTCGGTACCAAAGGGTATACATGTTGTTGTTGTTAAGTGCTGTCGGGTCAATTACCTCTCATAGCGGCCCTGTAAAGGGTTTCTGAGGAGTAGCTGATGAATTTGAACTGCCGACCTTGAGGTCCAGCACATTACCCTGCCCCACCACACCAGGACTCCATAGAAGGCATTTACATAGAAGGAGTTCCCAGGAAAACATGGTCCAGCCTCTTGCCTTAGGAAATACCTGAATATACCTATTTTGCTGATGGGGTCACTAATGCCCAAACAGGTAATATGACATGCCCAAGGACACAACTTTAAATCTTACTGTTTCGGTGAAAGAGGAGGCAAACAAATGAGAACATGGGACTTGAGGAGGGACACTATCCTAAGAAACCAAGAAAACTATTTAAGAGAAGAGAGCTGGGGACCCAGGGCCCTTAGTAGGGTGAAGTGAATGGAGTAACAACACAAGGAAAAGCAGTCACTCACCTGAAGACTTCTGGGCCCCAGCCAGCCACATAGGTGAAAAGTCGTGGTCCCAGGTCCCGGGCAGGATTGAGTGGGAACCCACAGTTGACACCCATGGATAGTCCAATGGCCAGGATCAGCAGGCCCACCACCACAGGCTCCAGACCTGCAGGCACTCCCTTATTCTGTGTGTCCAGGATGGCCAAGATTCCCACAATCAGGATCCCAGTGCCCAGAACCTTGGTGTTGAGAGATAGAACTGATGATGGGTCAGCTACCCGGTATTCTGTCTGCCCCCTTTGGGCTAAATACTCCAGACCCCACTACCCTCATGTTATTTGGCTTTGTAAACACTGGCAGTTGAGCTAGAATAGGGAGGGGGAACAAGATAGAATCAACCCCAACATCCCACATCAAGCCTCAACAATAAAGTGGGGCTCTCTCAGGTCTTTTTCCTCACACCTACCTGATCCAAGAAGCCATTGTTCAGGGACAGATAGGGGGCAGGGTAGGTGGCAAAGATGGAAGCTGTCTCCTTGGGTCCAGTCACTGTCAGGTTCCCACCTGTATAATTCTGTAGGGCGTCTGTGGGGAGGGGAACACACAGTTTGCATTTTTGTTCATCCAAAACTATTCCAAGACACCCCTACTCACACTGAATGCCCCTAACCTTGTTCCCTGTGTTACCATAGTAGAGGGCATAGGTGGCTCCAGAAGCACAGAAAGCAGACAGCAGCTGCACCAAGGAGTAAATGGGGAGCTTGGCCCAGGGGAGACGTCCCAGGAGGCACATGGCAAGGGAGAAGGCTGGATTCAGGTGAGCCCCTTCAGTGATCAGAGAAAGAAAACCAGCATCCATTAACTGCCTGCTGCTAGGCACTGCTCTTCCCCACATTGTTTTTCTTTCTTTCTTTCTTTCTTTCTTTTTAAAGCTTTTATTGTGAATTGGTTGATAGTGTACATGGCAGAACATCAGTTTTGCACGCAACCAATCTCATCTTGCATCCTTGTAATGACTGCAATCCCCTCCATGTACCATCAGTTAACAATATTTGCCTCTATTCTATTCCCTCTTTTTTTTTTTTTTTTTTTTTGGTGTTCAAAAAAACACACAGAAATATATAATTTTTAAACAACCAAAGGGCCCCTTTTCCAAGCCAGCCCCCTGCCCGTCAGCACACATCCTTTCTCTGTCCATAAGTCGAGAGTTCTCAGCTGCTCTGTCTCTCCAAGCCTTCACCTCTGCCTCCATCTCTGTTGTTGCTGCTTCTCTGGTTAGGATCCCACATTCTGCTCATGCTGTTCCCTCTTGCTGGTCCTAAGGGTCCTCTGTTCCTGGAATGTAAAATTAACTATTCCCCTCTTTTTGTCACATAACTTCTACCTTTATACTTGTGACCATCACAATTAGTCATGATAACAATTACTCACTATTGAATCAAAAGAATCCTATGCCCATCTCCTCTCACCAGACCCAACTAGACAAGATGAAAACTATTCGGTGATCCCCACATTCATAAGGTTGGTTTGTTGGTTAGTTGTGTGCTATCGAGTTGGTTCTGACTCATAGCGACCCATAAAGGTTTCCAAGGCTGTAAATCTTGGCAGCAGAAAGCCTCCTTTCACTCCTCCAAAACAGCTGGTAGATTTGAACTGCTGACCTTGTACATTCTTAAGGTAGATGTTATTATTCTTGTATACAGATTAAGAAGTTGAGACTTGAGGTTATCAAGATCACACAGTGAAATCAAAGTTTGAGCTTGAATCTGGCTGCTCTTTTCATTACAGCCCACTGTGCCTCAAGGCTCCACCCAGACACTCAGATGCAGACATGAGTCCCAGAGGGGACACAAGAGACTAGCACTCACCCTCAATGCCCTGCCAAAGAATTCTCTGTCTAGGTGAGGAAAGGAGTGGTACAGTGAATTACTTCTAACCACTGTAGGGTAAGCACTGGATTGCCAAGCAGAAGGCCAGTGGTTCAAACCCACCAACAACTCATTGGAAGCCCTATTAGGGTCATTATGAGTCAGAAACAACTTGACAGCACTTAACAATAACAACAACAACAACAAGCCATAATCTGTAAATCCCACCTATGGTTGTTGAGTGGGACAATGCTGAGTTGCTTATGACCTACCAAGGGGAATGGGTAGCTTGTTAATAAGGTGCACTGCACTCTTGTGAGGTGGGACCATGCAAATAAGGTATATGGAACCCAGACAAGGGGACTGGTCAGTTTTGCCATCCCCTTAAACTTAAAATGAGCTATCCCAGAAGTGGGAAAGGGGAAAACTGACTACGACCAAGAAGAAGAGATGAGAGTAGAGTGTACCATTTCAACATGGGACCCCTGTGCTGGGAGCCTCCTAGATCCAGGAGACAGCAAGAGCTCTGTAACACCAGAGACGATGGAAGACAGTGAGAAGTAGTGGCCGAGAAATGCTGGCAGCAGAAGACAGCAGAACCAGGAAATCAGCAGGAGAGATTGGACAGTGGGCTTTCTAGTCCGTGGAGCAACATACCTGAGTGTCTTTGGGCTGCAGCTTACTGGAGGAGTGAGGTGCCTCTGGGCAAAAGGAGTTCTGTAACACTTGTCTTAGCAGGACAAAAGTCAGGCTGAGGGACTGAGGGGCCGAGAGGTTTGCCTACAGGCACAGCTGCGAAAGGTTCTCCTGACTGAAGAACTACTGATTTGTTCCTGCAGTATAGTTAGTTACTTAACATGGTCCTTCTATGGTCTTTGTATTACCCACCAAAAAACTGGGTTGCTTTTGTTTTTGTTAGGTGTCTTTGAGTTAGTTCTGACTCATAGTGATCTATATAGGGTTTTTGAGGCTGTACTGGTATAGCACTGCAGGGTGATGCACTGGACCACAAGATAGGTTTGAATTGTAAGATTGGTGGTTCAAACTCACCAGTTGCTCCTCAGAAACCCTATACAGGGTCACTAGGAGTCGGAACCAGTTCGATGGCACTTAACAACAACAATAATCTCTATAGGAGCAGAAAGCTTCATCTTTCTCCCGTGGAGTGGCTGGTAGATTTGAACTACCAACCTGTGGTTGCAGTCCAGTGTTTATTCTAAAGCGGCACCAGCACTCCCAATGGTTGTTGTTGTTGTTAAGTGCTGTTGAGTCAGTTCTATTTCATAGCGACCCTGTATAGGATTTACAAGGAACAGCTGGTGAATTTGGTGAAAAGAAGGATGAGCCACTGACTTCGCAGTTAGCAGTCCACTGCTTATCCTATGCCATACCAGGACTCCAAGGACTAGGTAGGACTATTCAAATGTGAGGTGCTTGTGGCCCTCCAAGGGAATTGGATAGCTTGCTAATACTGTAAACAAGTTGCACAGCATTCTTATGAGTGTGAGACCATGCAAAAAAAACTATATAGAATTTTAACATGGAAATTGTTCCATTTTGCCATCTTGCTATGCCTAAAACAAAACATCCCAGAGATGGAAAAGGGTAGCTTATGGCCACCAAGAAAGAAGAGCCAAGAGAGGAGAGTATCTTCGGGACCCATGATCATTGTACTGAGAACCTCCTTGATCCAGGAGACAGACAGACAGAGCTGTAACAGTTTGCAGAGATGGTGAAAGATGGTAAGAAGCAAAGAAATGTCAGCAGCAGAATCAGGAGACTGGCAGGAGCTACAGGGCCCATGAATCAAGAAAGTAGAGTACTTTCGGGCTTGTCAACAGTGTAGAGTATTTCTAGACATTTGATGAAGCTAGATTTGCTGCCCCATAGAGCAAGAAAGCAGAGCGCCATTGGGATGAGACTTAGTAGCAGAGTGGGGTACCTCTAGGTGCCTCTCTAGGGTATCAGTAAAGCTAAGGAACTTTGTAAAAGTTACCCAAGCAGGACAAAGGCCAAACAGCCACAGGACCAAGAGGCCAAGGACCAGAGAGAGGTGTGCCTATGGACACTGCTAAGAAGAGGCTGTCCAGGCCAACTAATTGTATACTGAGTCATTTCCAATCCGGATTTGTAATCTGTTGCTTGCCTAATAAGCCCCATTGGTTGGTTTCTATGTGCGATGGAGTTGGTTCTGACTCACAGTGATCCTGCACAGGGTTTCCAACGCTGTAAATCTTTATGGGAGCAGAAAGCCTCATCTTTCTCCCGCGGAACAGCTGGTAGTTTCGAACTGCTGACCATGAGATTAGCAGTCCAATTCGTAGCCACTATGCTACCAGAGCTCCTTAAATAATGACTATTGTCTGTGTCTTGAGTTCTGTGTGACCATTGCAACAAATGATCAATCCCAGCAGTGAAGCAGAGAGCGCTTCACTGGTAAGGATATTTGTTGTCCGAAATAATTAAAACAACAACAACTTGGAAAGTGGAAGCATTTCTGACCTCTGTCTCATAAAAATCAAACTTGGGCTGTTGATCTTGATCCTCCTTCCTAATTGTGAAGTTTGAGAAAGACATCTCCACCACATCATTTTTACAAATGGAAATGAAACATGCAAAAGGGGAAGGGCTGGAGGAGACCAAAGTCATATCTTAGTCCAGGGCACTGATCATACTCCGCAAGATAATGCCAATGAGTCACTGTAGGACCTGCATTTTTACCATCACCATACACCAACCACACTCCCATGCACATCCTGCTCCCTCTGATGGCCAGGCCTCATGCTTCTCACCTGAAACATTTCCACCCACATAGATGGCTATGGTAACAGCCAGGGAGCCAGCCAGGAACATGGTGAAGAAGTTGCCTTTGGTTTCTCCACTGGTGACAGCCTGGGCCACAGCTCCCTGAGTAATGAGCTAGTGGAAGAGGGAGATGAGAAAGAGGGAGCCCATGAGAATGAAAAAAGAGAGAAAATGGGAAGACTAAAAGAGAGGCCAAGAGAGATGAACCAACATGAGGGGAGAAAGAAAAGTCGAAAAAGGGAAGAGTCAAGAGATGAGATCACTGGAGAAAGAAGTGTAATGAAAGGAAAGACGGTAACAGATGGGAAGGGACTGAAATGAAGAAGAAGAAGAAGAAGAAGAAGAAGAAGAAAAAAAAAAGGCAGTAGAAGAGGACAGGAGAGTGATATGGAGAGACGAATGGGGGAAAACAGAGAAGTGATAGAAAGTTGAAAGGAAGTGAGGTTCCAGGAGGAAGAAATAAGTGCACCAAGTAGAGTCAAAAACTGGTACCCACCTCCCTTATTTCCTTTCCCCAATTACCCTGCCTACCATCAGCACAAACACACCCAGAAACTCTGCCAGGCACTGTCGGACCAGGAGGCTGCGGATCTGGAACCGGCCCCCAATTCTGGCCATGGGCTGAGTGCAGGCCATGGTGGGGACACCCTGTCCTTGTCACCACTGTGTCTGTCTGTGTAGGTACTTCTACCAGCACAGCTACAAGGGGAGAGATAAGAAAGAGACTTTAAAACCAATTAGCTCTACTCCTGAACAGCAGCTAGTATATCTACACCTGTGTAGCTGAGGAGGGCAAAGATAACAGCAGAATTTCCATGGGCAGGACCAAAGGGTTCCCAGAGCCTGGACTTTTCTCAGAATCTGTCTCTTCTGTCCTGCATTTCCATTCTTCACAGGATTATCTTCCTCCATGCTGACGGGTGAAGTGCCGGTGTAGGATAAACACTGCTGGAAAAACCCACCAGCTGCTCCTCAGAAACCCTACACAGGATCAATATGAGTTGGAACTAACTCAATGACACTTCTCAACAACAGCAATATGCTGACGAATTAGGGGAAGAACTCTGCTTCATATAACAGGGGGCTTCAAAAAGTGCATAGAAAAACTCCATTATCCTGTCATTCCATTTTCCACACTTTTTTTGAAGCCCTCTCGGAGTCCTGGTGTGACTCTGTGGGTTAATGCACTAGACTGCAAAGTCATTTGAACTACAAAGTTGGCGGTTCAAGCTCACCAGCTGCTCCTTGGAAACCCTATACATGGTCGCTATGGGTCAGAAAAACTTTACGGCACTTAACAACAACTTGTATATTAGTTCTTTGGATCCACAAGTCAATTGTGTAAAGTAGTATTATTACTCTCATTATACAGATGTGGATACTGAGCCTCAGGATTCCTCGAGGTCACACAGTAGATGAATCTGATTTCAAACCCAAGCTTCTGGCTCTCCATCTAGTATTCCATGATGACTCTTTCCCCAAACCACTGTGTACTTAGAGAATTCAATCAGCATAGGACTGAAAACTATAGATGACAGGAATGAAAACTAATACAGTGATGCTTTTACTTTTCTCATCTAGAGTTTCAGCTTGGTTAGAATATGCTCTGGACAGGAACAAACAAGATGGCAGAGAGGGTGGAAGTGCAGTGAAGAGCTCTATCAGCAACAACAAAGAATACTGGACCAAGCAGGCTCAAGGGAAGGTGCCAGAACTCTGAACTACATATAAAGGAATA